TATGGAAGTCACAGGGGCTCCTTCCAGCTCCCTCCGGCCTGCAGGCACCCATTTCCAGAAACTGGTTGGGGGGAAGGCTCCTCCTGAGAAGGGTGAGCGGCTGCACTGTGGCATGGACGGCCGGGCTCACCGAGTATCCTCCTCTCCCCACGCCGCCCCCCCTTCAGCCATCACCAGGACGTGGCCTTGGGCATGGAGAGAGGGAGGCCTTGGGGAGTACCACCATGGAACCTGTTGCCCAAGACCCGCAGGCTAAACTCGCCCAGTCCAGGGCCTCCACAGGTGCCAGTGCTCTGACTAAATCCCAGGGGGGAAGCCACCCTTCGTGGCAGGTTTTTCCAAGCAGGTCATGCCAAGAGAGGGCACAGGGCGGAGTGCCCTGGCCCTGGGATCCTGGCTGCACCCAGGCTGGGTTGCCCAGAGTCCTACCCTCCTGGACTAGCCCTCAGTTCCTGGCTCCCTGTCTTCCTCTGTGGCCCCAGCTCTCCACTTGATCCTTCCTGGGGAACCAGACTTCTAACTGGAACTCTAACACACGAACACCCAGCCTTTAAAGCCCTACAGGGAGGTATAGCTACAATTTCCTGAGCACCTACTACAGGCCAGGAAATATGATCACATCATTTCATTTAATCACTCAACAATCCCATGTGCTGGGCATTGTTATTACTTGCATTTGAAAGATGAAGCCCCTGAGGCTCAGAAAAATTAACTAGTAAGCTCAGATCCTTGGGGAACCACTAATAAATATGGACATGATTTCTTTTTTTCTTTTTAAGATTTTATTTATTGGGGCACCTGGGTGGCTCAGTCAGTTAAGCATCTGGCTTTGGCTCAGATCATGATCCTGGGGTCCTGGGATTGAGCTCTGAGTTTGGGCTCCCTGTTCAGTGGGGAGCCTGCCTCACCCTCTCCCTCTGCCCCCACCCCCCACTCCTGCTTTCTCTCTCTCACTCGTCCACTCTCTCTCTCAAATAAATAAATAAAATCTTTTTAAAAAATTTTGTTTGAGAGAGAGAGAGAGAGAGAACATGAGTAGGGGGAGGAGCAGAGAAGGAGGGAGATGGAAGGGGAAAGAATCTCAAGCAGACGATCTCATGACCCTGAGATCATGACCTGAGCCGAAAACAAGAGTCAGGCACTTAACCGACTGAGCCACCCAGGTGCCCCAATACTGACCTGATTTCTAAGGCTTTTTAGAGTGTGATTTGCAGTATGTACGTGTATGTTTTAATGACACAAAGCTCTGATATGGAAGAAAGTAGACTGAAGAAGTTCCTAAATATATTCCAGCTAAGTGCATTTTACATATTTTTCAAGGTTGGGTTCAAATCCTACCTACTCTGTGCGGTCCGCCCTGACTGCTCCAACCCTCAAGGATTCCCCATGTTCCGAACCCCGGCCCTATCTCTACAGCTTTCCAGCACCTGAAGCATTTTGTGGGTTTGCCATTCATCCACCACCACAGTGTCAGACCCCCAAGGACAGGGACTGTGGTTGCCAAACTTTTTGAACCTCCGTGCTGCAAAGATTTCCCTGGCTACGAGAGCTTAACCCTGCAAGGAAGAGATGCAGTTCATTTTAGCCTTGACTCCCAAATCCCGTCCACTTTTCAAGACATGGGCAGCAGCTTCTCTGACCACACCTGCTGAAAGTGAGCAGCGTCACTTTTTGCAATTTTGAGCAAGTCACTCCATTCCTCCCAGCCTCAGTTTCCTCATCTGTAAAATGTGAATATATGCACCTGCCTCATCGGGTTGTATGAACTATAAGTGTTACAATGCATTTGATGTAGCGCCTGCACATAAGCCATGATCCAAAATGATAGCCAGCATCATTACTATTACTATTTCATCACACTGTCTTTTAGGGAAGGCATTTACACACGTGCCTTTTCTAACCTTCTAGATCAGTGGTTCTCCAATTCTGGAGTATGTCAGAATCACCTAGTATGAAGCTACCTAGGGCACACCCCAAACCTACAAAACAGAATCCCCATTACGCAGGGGAGATGGTGGGGCCGGGGCAGCTCCACTTTGAACAAGCCTCCCCAGCCCACTGCAAGTGATTCTGACATGTGCTCTCTGAGCCTGGAAAATTCAGCTAGACAATATTCAACTTCCAAGTTTTTTTCCCACAGAACTCTAAGGTTCCAGAGAGATACTTCCAAACCTGTGGTTCCCAACCTTGGCTGGACTGCAACCCCTAGAGATTCAGATGTTGGTCTGGGATATGACCGGGGTGTTGAGATTTCTCAAAGGTGGACAGAAGATTCTAATGGTCGGTCAGCCAAGGTTGAAAATCACTGGTCCATTTGCATGCCCTCTGTGACAAACTGAGCCCCAATCTGACACTGATTTTACGGAAAGGCCTCTTATGCTAAAAGAAAAAAAAAAGTGAGTTTGCAAACAGCTGGTCTAGCCTGCCAGTAAGAGCTTTCAGCCCCCAGCCTGGCTTTTATTCACCTTTGTGTCTGTCCCAGGACCTTACAACATAGTAAATACTTAATAAATATTTGTTGGAAGGTTGAATAGTTCTGTTTTACTTGTTATCTGGCTCCAATTAGGTTTTCGGTTGCCTAGCGTAACAACTTAACAGTTTCTTAAACATCTAAGCCTTAACAGCCTTTGCCTCAAACCTCAAACCTGAAACAGAAAGTGAGGCAGTCATCCAGCGAACACACTGACATTTCTTCTGGGGTCACATATACTATGCAAGTTCCTAATGACTGATAAATATAAGCAAATGTGATTTTTGTCAGCTGGGAAGAGCGTGACAGTTGTCGGCAGCGCAGGCCTCCCAGCCTAATATTTGGATTGTTCCATCTGAAACTGTCAAATTACAAGAGCATGATAAAAACTTGTAGGAACTTCATAGTAAACAGTAACTGGCCCCCTGTCAATACGTTAGGAGAAAAAAAATTCCCGCTGCCAAAACACATGGGCCAGAATGCCTGCAGCCAACTAGAGCCTGTTCCCTGGGCAGCTCTTCTAGATTCTCAACCGCAGCGGCTGTAAGAGAAGGCCCTGAGCACTCCAGGGATCTGGGAGCCAGAGCACCTTCAACTCTTAGCTTTTCTTCGGCTCTGGGGCTCTGGAAGCCCTTTCACCTCGTAGGCCCTCCAATTCCTCGTGTGTAACTGCTACTTGATTAGGTCCTTAGCACCATGACTGCTTAGGTTTGAATCCCAGCTCTTTACACACTGGCTGTGTTGCTCTGGGCAAGTTTCTCCACTTCTCTGGGCCTCCTTTTCCTCACCTCTAAAATGAGGATGATATTAACACTATTTCATAGAGTTGTCAGTGTCAAGGGACAAGAACAATGCCTGGTATAGAACAGGCATTCAACAGATCTTAACTATTAGAAACCTGCAAATCTCAAACCAAGAGTTTTGAAAACGAAGCTTTTGTCTTTCCTTTTTCTCCTTATGTTTTTGTTGGTTTGGTATCAGAATTCACCAGGCGGCACACCTGAGCTTAAGGGACTTAAAGGGGATCTTTTGTTATCCTACTTAATATGAACTTTCAAAAGTTTCACTGCAGAAGTAATAAGGCAGTCAATTACGGGACGCTGCCCCATACCACAGAAGAAATGCCATTAATATGTGAAATATGCCCTGAATTACCTTTAAAAAATCTGAGAAGTTCTGGATTCTAAAATGCGTTGGCCATAAGGATTTCAGGTAAGGGAATGGGGAGCTATCCTCTTATGGGGTTGTGGTCGGATAAAAGGAAGGAAGCATCCTCCCAGCGGATGTCTCTTTCCCCTCCCCCTGCCAGGCCCTAGAACTCACAGCTCTTCCCTTCTTCTATCCACCCAAATTCGGTTTATCCTTCAGAATTCGGCTAACGCACCTTCCCTGTGAAATGGTCCTCTCTAAACCCTACTGACCATGTCAAGAGCATGTGGCTGGGGAGGGTGGCTGGGTTGCATCTCCTCTACACCTCCGGGTGGCTGGCACTGATAACCCACGGCACTAGGCTGACAGGGACCCTCCTGAAGCATCTAGCCACAGGAGGAAAGGGTGGTCATGGAGGCTGATGTCTGAACTGCAAGTGACAGGAGGGGCGGGGCAGCCCACCTGACAGCTCATCCCACCCGCCCTGCCTGGGATGGACCCTAACTTGGCTTGATGACTAAAGTATACATTTCTGAAGCACGGAGAGCGTATCTTACACCTCCCGTTCTCCCGGCAAATGTTCGTTTATTGTTGTTACTGCTTTTGTATTAATCAGCTCTCGGAATCTATCGTGGACCTAGGAGCACTCAACAAATACTTGTGAATGAATGCTGAGTCATCTGTAAATACGGGCTGATTAATTCACTGACCTTGCTACCTTTCCCACTGGCACGGCCCAGTTGGGCATATTGGTGCGGGCCTAGCCATGGGAGGCGTTCTGGAGCTACACAACCGTTTTAATGCTTACCATGCCAACAGACTCCATGCCGACTCTAAAAAAAAGTCTAGGTCCTTAACTAGACATAGCCTCACAGCAGCGTGTTCACTCAAAATTCCCTGGAGAAACTTTCTAGAAAAGTGCAGAGATTCCTGAAACCAACTGTCTGGGAGCACGTATGACTCCAGACGTCCAGTTTGTCCAAGGACTCGAAACCCGTCACATCGACCCGGCCGGCGGCCACGACCTCCCTTGCCCCCGGCTGCCAGCACGCACTGGCTCAGCGGGCTCCCCCTCGGCCCGCCTTCTTTCACCCCTCCACGGGGCCTCCCTAAGGTTGATGCCGAAAGGCCTTCTCAGCATTAGCTTCACTTTGAAGACTATTCAGAACCAGAGTGGGGTGGGGGCGGCCTCAACGCTTGAAAGGGCTGCAAAATAAATCAAAAGATGAAAGGAAACACGCAGAGCCAAGAATTCCTCCCCGGCCGGCGGAAGCCACGCATTCACCGCGCCGGCCGGGGCGCAGGGCCGGCCCGGGCCGTCGGGGAGGGCGCGAAGCGGAGGGGGGCGGGCGCGAGGGCAGGGGCGGGCGCGCGCGCGTACCTGCTTTCCGCCGTGGGGTCGCGGCCCCGCGCCTGCGGGTGCCGGCTGCCGCGCGGCCCCGGGCCCTGGCGGCTGGCGTCGGGGCCGGCGGGCGCGTGCGGCTCCTCGCGGTCGCGGCTCCGGTGCAGCGGCACCGACGTGCGCACGGCCGACACCACGTGGCCCGCGAAGGCGCGCGGGGGCGCTCGGGGCCGCAGGGCGCCGCGCGCGCGGTACGAGCCGGGCAGGCAGGGCCGCGTCTGCTCCATCACGCCGCCGCTGCAGCTGCGCGAGCAGGCGGACCAGGGCCCCCAGGCGCCCCACACGCCCGGGGCGCCGCCGCCGCCGTCCTCGGGGACGCCCTGGGCCGCCGCCATCCGCTGGGGGACCTGCGGAGACAGAGGCCGGTTAGGGGACCCGAACACCCGCTCCTGCCTCACCCGCAGAGGCTCTGGATAACCCGAAAGCCCCATCCGTTAAACACTAGTAGGCACTGGGCCGGTTTTAAAATGAGAAGAACGAGGGCGCCTGGGTGGCTCAGCTGGTTAAGCGACTGCCTTCGGCTCAGGTCATGATCCTGGAGTCCTGGGATCGAGTCCCGCATCGGGCTCCCCGCTCAGCGGGGAGTCTGCTTCTCCCTCTGACCCTCCTCCCTCTTATTGCTCTCTGTATCTCATTCTCTCTGTCTCAAATAAATAAATAAAATCTTTAAAAAATAAAATAAAATGAGAAGAACGAAATGAATATAATCCAGCCTGGGTGATATTCGTCTTTATACCAACGCACTCATAAAATAGAACTTTAACTTTTTTAACGGGGGAAGGGCCACACAAAGATAAAAAAGCCTAAGGCTCACAAACGTCCTAATTCGGTCCTTGCTTCCGCTGCCGTGGCCTTGGAGAGCTCGGCGTGGTGCCCTCAGCTCTTACTGAGGCTTAGCCCTCAGGAGTCCCCCTTAACCTCCAACTTTGGTCCTCGGGGTGCAGGCCAGAGGGACTCGACTTCCCTTAACCTCTTGGGGAGGCCCCGTGGCCCAGTCTCCATGCAGTAAAGACGATGGGACACTGCAGTTTAGAGGCCCTGCCCTCAAGTCACCTCCCTGCCACCACTTCTAGCCGTGTGACTAGGAAGTTTCTGAATTTCTCTGAGCCATGCTGTGTTCTAAAGAAGGATGGTATCTACCTCACGGGGACATAAGGAATTTAAGTCCGGTCACGCATGTGCAGAGCAGGGAGCCTGGCACCAAATATTTGTTAGTAACCATAATGATGATTTTCCTGCTTCCGTGGTAAATCAGAAGAAGTGAGAAATGTCAGAAAGTTTTAAAGTTCTAACCTGGAGGGTGATTCTACACTCCTATTCACTTCACCAGTCATCTCACAGAGAATAGCTATGCCAGACATGGTGCTCAGTGTGGGGACACAGTGTTCCTTCATTATGCAGACACTCCCTGAGCACCAGCTATTCCCCTGCATGGAGCTAGGCCCTGAGGACCAGGAGAAAAGCATCCCAGATCCACACAAATGGCCTGGACCCAGCAGAAGAGCTCTATGCAGCTAGCACGAGATTGGGGAGCCTCCTGGGGGGACTGGCTGCACAGGGTTGGGTGGGGTGGGGAGGGGAGAGGGATTAAGAAGGCCTCAGAGGAGGAGTCCCGGTAATAGCTATAATAGTCGGGTGCACACGTAGTACCAGGTAACAGGTGTAATCTCCAGGCTTCACCGTGGCCGTGGTGTCTACCATTCTTACCTCTCAGAGGTGAGGTTTGCCAACTGAGGCTCAGAGACGTGTGACCTGCCCCAGTCATGCTGCTACAGCTGGGCTTAGAGTCAAGTCTCCCCAACTCCCAGTCCCACAGCTCCAGGACTCCCTGCTCTCCCCCAGCAGACAGCTGCCCTTGTGTTTCTGGATCTTCCGCCTGGAATGTCCTTCTTTTTTTTTTTTTTAAAGATTTTATTTATTTATTTGAGAGAGAGCATGAGAGGGAAGAGGGTCAGAGGAAGAAGCAGACTCCCCGCTGAGCAGGGAGCCCGATGCGGGATTCGATCCAGGGACTCCAGGATCATGACCTGAGCCGAAGGCAGTCGCTTAACCAACTGAGCCACCCAGGCGCCCTGGAATGTCCTTCTTACCTGTGGGACACTGACCAACACTATGACTTTCCTTGGAACGTGAGTTTTTCAGAGGACCTCACCCTTCCATCTAAAGTACAAAAAGCCATGATTAACTTAGTCTTTTTTTTTTTTTTTTTTCTCTTTAGATCTTGGTTTTTGACAGCATTTTTTGGCCCAAAGCTCAAAGCTCAAAGACTTTTCAAGGTTGAGTCCTCTGTCTCCACAGTACCACTGAGCTATGAGAAGGTCCAGGGATGGTCCTCCCCTTTGTGTAGAACAAATCCAAGGCAGAGCTCCTTCACACCACATGGAAATGAGAGGTGGAGCTAAGATTACCTCAGAGGAGGGATGTAAGGACTTGATGAGGAAACCCACTTGATGTGCCCCTGAGGTAAGCGGTAAAAGTGAGGGCCCAGGCCTTGGTTAGAGTCCTTGCCCCCAGGCAATCAGTCACCCTGAAGCCATGGGGCTTGTTTAATTGAGGCCATTTGCCTTTGACTACATTGCAGTGCAGAGCGGTCTGTGGATGACCTCTGTAGCTGGAGTTCCTGAAGGTTCAGGGAGCAACTAAGGCAGGATGAGACAGAGCTGAGGGAACCCAGGGAGCAAATGAGCATCTAACCAGAGGGGTAAGCCCAGAGCTGATGTCAGCCAGCCAGCCTTTGGGAGCCATGTTCAGAGAGCCAAGGCAAAAGGCTGGAGGTACCGTGGGCTGGAGCCAGCGGGAGACGGGGTCAGAGCAAGGGCAAGACAGAAGGTTCTGTGACAGGAGGACTGCGATTCCTTATCGCCAGTATGTGAGCAGCCGCAGGGTGGATGGGTGTGTGAATAGTGAACACATTCGACACATCACCACTAAATGGGGGATCCAGGAAAGAAGACTTTTTGCCTGCTTGTAAATACAAACAAAACAAAACAAAAACAAGCTTTTGTTCTTTCTTCCCCTTAAAAATCATGTCCTGGGGGGCCTGGGTGGCTCAGTTGGTTAAGCGACTGCCTTCGGCTCAGGTCATGATCCTGGAGTCCCGGGATCGAGTCCCACATCGGGCTCCCTGCTCGGCAGGGGGTCTGCTTCTCCCTCTGCCCCTCCCCCCTCTCATGTGCTCTCTCTCATTCTCTCTGAAATAAATAAATAAAATCTTTAAAAAAAAAAAAATCATGTCCTGATTTTTAAATATCAAACTGATCATGGATTCGCTGAGGTGACTGCAAAAAAATGTGCTTCATCAGGCCACAGTCTTGATCTAGAAAGTAATCCCTAAAGTGTGTATAGTGAGTTGAATGGTGGCCTTCCCTAAAAGATATGTCCCGTGCCCTAATCTGCAGAACTTGTGAATATGACCTCATTTGGAAAAAGGGTCATTCTCTGTGTAATTAAGGATCTTGAGATGAGAACATCCCGGATTGGGCGCCTGGGTGGCTCAGTTGGTTGAGCGACTGCCTTCGGCTCAGGTCATGATCCTGGAGTCCCGGGATCGAGTCCCACATCGGGCCCCCTGCTCGGCAGGGAGTCTGCTTCTCCCTCTGACCCTCCTCCCTCTCATGCTCTCTGTCTCTCATTCTCTCTCTCAAATAAATAAAATCTTTAAAAAAAGAAAAAAAAAAAAGAACATCCCGGATTTTCCAAGCGGGCCCTAAATCCAATGATAGGTGTCCTTATAAGACACAGAAGAGAAAATACAGAGAGCAAAGGGCCGTGTGACCACCGAGGCCGACCAGAGAGATAACAGCCATGAGCAGCAACACAGGGAGCCACCACAAGCTGGAAGAAGCCAGAAGGATGTCCCCCTCGTAACTGAAAGGAGTATGGCCCTAACAACACCTTGATATTGAACTTCCGGCCTCCAGAACTGTGAGGAAGAAATTTCTGTTGTTTTAAGCCATCAAGTTTGTGGTAATTCGTTACAACAGCCCGAGGACGCTAATGCAGTGCTTAGTACTTTCAGGACAAGGAAGAAAAGTGGACAGGCGTCTGCTGAGCACCTTCTCTGAGTCTGGAATTGTGCAGACACCTCGTGTAGGGACCACTCTCTGGCGTAGGCACCATTAGCTCCATGGTACACTGTCAGGGTGCCTCAGCCACCCTGAGAGGTTGGTGTCACTTTGTCCCTTTTCCGGAGAAGAATTGGGGCCTCCAGAGGCTGCGTGACTGCCCAGGCGCAGGCTGGTAAGGGGCACAGACAGGGCTGACGCTGAAGCCTGCTCATTCCTATTCCTGGGTTCTTTTTTCTTTTCCCCTGTGGCATGTTGCCTCCCTGCCTGCTTTTGGTGGAAAATCGAAGGGTAAAATGAGTCGAAATTAATCCCCTTTGATAGTTCTAGAAGGATAATTGGGATAAACAAACAAAGGCAGAAGTATGTGTCTGGCACATCTGGGGATTTCAGGTACCCAGGCCCTCCTGATTTCTCATGAATATAGAGAAGGAAGGCACTGTTGCTAACATTTGCATGAGACATGCAGCTACACTAAAACTCCATTTCCTAGAACTAATCCCACCCTTAATTTAGCTTCCCGTTGCCAAATTGGGCAGGGTCCCTGGGGGAAGAAAACATGAAACCACATTCCATCCTATTCTATTCATAAGAATTCTCTAATTTATAGATGAATTATGGTGAGAGACTTGAAATTCCATCTCAGTCCCCATGGTAAGAATCCAACCACATGCTCCAAAACTGTATTTTTATAGTACACAGCCAGAAACAAAGAAAAAAGACACGGGGGTGGGGGGAAGGAAGGAAGGGAGGGGAAGTGCAAAGAAAGAGAAAGAAAGGAAGAAAAAATAAAGGGAGGGGGGCTTTGGATGTGGGTCTCCTAGCTGCATCAGACCCCCACCCTCCACCCGCTTCTCCCCAGCCCTCCTGGTGACCACCTTCCTCCTTGTTTTCTGACAGTCAAGGAGTTTTCTGGGAGGCAGGATGGGAAATCTTTCAAGTGTCCTGAGATACAGTATTCCCCAAATCATGATAAACTAACAGACCTGTTAGTGACAAGCATCAAAACCAAGGACTAAATCATGATTGGACAAAACCAAAGAAAGAATAGAACCTTAAAGCCTTGTAACCTGCCAGCACATTGCTCCTTCCCCAGTACACACATGTCATGTTAAGACTGAAGCAGAAAGAGATGTCTGGGTGGCTCAGATGGTTAAGCGTCTGCCTTCAGCTCAGGTCATGATCCCAGGGTTCTGGGATCAAGCCCCATGTTGAGCTCTCTGTTCAGTGGGGACCCTGCTTCTTCCTCTCCCTCTACCTGCCGCTCCCCCTGCTTATGCTCT